ACACACACACACACACACACACACACACACACACACAGACACACACATACACACACACATACACACACACACATACACACACATACACACACATACACACACATACACACACACACACACACACACACACCCCACACAGAGTTTTGCTTCTTAAAGACCACTATTTCTTTTGTCTGACATTCAAAAGATTTCCACCTTTCTGACTTTACCTCTACCTTAAGCTGTCTGGCTTTTCCTGCTGGTCTACCTTTATGCTCTGTGGCTTATACAGACAGGGCCAGTCTCATGGCTGCTTATTTAAACATAGGCTGAAGCCTTACGCTTCTTGGTGGTGTGATTGGACGGGGTGTAAGGATTCTGACTGTTTGTACTGGCTCAGGGAGGATATAGCTAAGATGACATTGTCCCCAGCGTGCATGAGGCCCTAGGGTCAATTCTCAGTGTTGTCAAAAGAAACATCTCTCCTGCATTTAGGGAGATTCTTATCTGTTCTATCCAACTAGAGGTGCATCTAAAAATTAAGTATGCACGTACATAATCTAGCTTGATGTATATATTAATCAATTCACTGAGACATGGGCTGGTTCAGGAAGGGACTCTCATGTACCCGAGTGTCAGGGTGGAGCACTGTGGATAGGGTATAGGAGTCATTTCTCCACACTTTCCCTTAGAAATGCCTCTGTTATTAGTAAGGGCACTCCATAGAACTACACTTCATATTTAAAAAAAATCATCCAAGATGACTAATAATGTTTGTGTTTTGTTTTCAGAGACTGTGAATACAAGAGTATCATTTTCCTTCAAGGGAGTACTACTTCCTAAGGTATTGTTCAAGAAATATTTTGCTCTTTCTTCATTTGTAAATGGAGGCTGCTCATTTATTTCCTGGCTGCCCAGACCCAAATAATCACACAGGAACTATATTAATTACAATACTGCTTGGCCAATGACTTAGGCATATTTTTAACTAGTTCTTGCATCTTGAATTAACCCATTTCTACTAATCCATGTATTACCACAAGGCTATTGCCTACTGGCAAGGTTCCGGCGTGTCCTTCTCCTTTTGCTACATGGCATCTCTTTGACTCTGCCTACTCACTCTCTATATCTCTGTTCAAATTTCCTGCCTAGCTTTACTCGGCTAGACTTTTGGACAAAACTGCTTTATTCATTAACCAATAAAAACAACACACACACACAGAAGGACTTCCCACATCATTCACCTTTTGCAATAATATAATACATTGTCTCAGTCAGGATTGCTGAGATTCCATGACCATGGAAACACTTATAAAGGAAAACATTGAATTGGGACTGGTTTTCAGTTCAGAGGTTTAGTCTATTATTGTTATGTGGGAAGCATGGTGGCACTCAGGAAGATACGGTGCTGGAGAGGAGCCCAGAGTTCTGTATCTGGATTGGCAGGAAGCAGGAAGAGAGACACTGGACCTGATTTGAGCTTCTGAACTGTGCAAAGCCTACCCCCAGGGACACACTTTCTCTAACAAAGCCACACCTACCCCAACAAGGCCACACCTCCTAATAGTGCCACTCACTGGTGATCAAGCATTCAAATCTATGAGTCTATGGGGGCCATTTTTTTTAAGGTAAAATTTTATTTATCTACATACCAATCCCAATTCCCCCTCCCTCCTCTCCTCCCACTCTCCCACTTATCCTACACCCCATACCCCATCTGCTCCTCAGAGAGGGTAAGACCTCTCCTGGGGAGTCAACTAAGTCTGTCTATGGGGGCCATTCTTATTCAAACAACATATGTTAAGAATTGAAAAAAGCAGTTCACCGCTTTTAAGAAGAGTTATTCTCTAGGTGGTCGTGGCACACGCCTTTAATCCCAGTTCTTGGGAGGCAAAGGCAAAGTGGATGTGAGTTCGAGGCCAACCTGGTCTACAAGAGCTAGTTCCAGGACAGGCTCCAAAGCTACAAAGAAACCTTGTCTCAAAAACAAACAAACAAACAAACAAACACCCAACCAAGCAAAACCAAAAACCAACCAAACAAAAAGAATAGTTATTCAATTGAGATTGGACGTGTTCAGGGTAGCGTGACCACAGTCAAGAGTTTTGGTTTTAGGTATTTTGTTATTTTTTTATGTCAGTTCTGGGGATTTGAACTCAGGAGCTCATGCTTGTACAGTGAGGGCCCCTCGCCTCTGAGTCATTCTCTGGACACTGTGGACTATTTAAAAAGACATCCTCACTTTCTAATTGAGAGACAATTAAAACTTATGCAGAGACCAGTAAGATGGCTGTGGATAAAGGTGCTTACTTCCAAGATGGATGGAATTCTCTTGCTGAGACTCACATGGCAGGAGGAGAGATCTGACTTCCATCAATTGTCCCCTGACCACCACCCGAATGATGCGGCATGCTCAGCTGCCCCCCCCCATGAATGCATACACACACTCACACAAATGCATGCACACATGCACAATTTTAAAGGCATGCATGCAGGTTTTTATCTGAATGATGTGGTGTGCTCAGCTGCCTGCCCCCCTACTCACATGAATGCATGCACACACTCACACAAATGCATGTACACAGACACAATTTTAGAAGGTATTCATGCAGGTTTCTATCTTATTGGGAAACTAAGAGAGTGAAATTGGGCTTGGGGATTAGCTCTGTGCTAGAGTATTGAGAGGCAGACATCAAGCCCTGGGTTTGATTCTATTCACCACACACACACACACACACACACACACACACACACACACACACAAATTCAATTTCAATGTTATATACCGATAAGAACAATTTCTTGCCAGGCTCACGCCTTTAATCTTAACAGATGGATCTCTGTGAGCGTGAGACCAGCCTGGTCTACGTAGTGAGTTCCAGACCAGTTAGGGCTACATAATGAAAGCCTGTCTCAAAACAAAACAGAACAAAAAGAAAGAAAAGAAGAACGTTCTTACACAGAGTCTGTGAATCACAGCACCTAACATCTTGTATTGCTTGTCTTTATTATTCCTTGTTCTAGGGCCGATACAGTTGCATTGCGGAAGCCATCGTAGGCGATGACCAGGAAAGGCTGTTCTGTTTGAACTTCACTGTCATCCATCGTCACAATGTCAACTAGAGTAAACTCAGAATATACATATTTTATTTTTGGAAAGTGGTGTTCTGTTTTTTCTTTAAAAAAAACTTTCACAGTTATTGTGTGTGTGTGTGTGTGTGTGTGTGTGTGTGTGTGTGTGTGTGTAGATCAGACTGGCCTGGATCTCAGATCTTACTGCTTCGGTCTCTCCAGTGATGGAATTAAAGTGTGGAGCCTGATGTCCCGCTGTTGCTGCTCCTCCTCTCCCTGCTCCCCATTTCTCCTCCCTCTGCTCTCCCTCCTCCACCTGCTCCCCATTTTCCTCCCTCTGCTCTCCTGCTCCCCATTTCTCCTTCCTCTGCTCTCCCTCTTCCTCCACCTGCTTCCCATTTCTCCTCCCTCTGCTCTCCCTCCTCCTCCCCCTGCTCCCCGTTTCTCCTCCCTCTGCTCTCCCTCCTCCTCCCTCTGCTCTCCCTCCTCCTGCTTCTCCTCCTCCTCAGTGGCACAGTTTCTCCAACAAAGCCACACCTCCGAAGAGTGCCACTCCCTGTGAGCTTCTGGGGGCCTCTGACATGGAACTCTTACACCATATATTCATTCTGCTGTTCTACTCCTCTGGAGAATCCTGACGGCCACACCTAGTAGGCCTGACAATCTGAGCCTGATCTCCGGAGCGCACACAGAAAGTGGGATGTGGAAGTCCCAATATGAAGCACAGAGACCGTGGCCCCCAAACTGCTAGGTGAGAAGTGACTCCTGAAAGCTGTCTTCCGACCTCTGTCCCTCCCTCCAAGTAAGTAATAAAAGAAAGGGGGGGAAAGGAACACTGAGCAGAAGCTTTTTAATGCCCGAATAAATACCCAGGGGTGCTACCCAGGAGGGAAGTCTCCCAGAGCAGCCGGGGAAGAAGCTTATGTAGGCACTTACACAACGAAGAAAGAGTATGACATGGTTGTGCACAGCATCACAACCTTGCGTGTGCGTGGCTTCTAGGTCTAACAAGGCTTGCATGTTCACAGAATCGTGAACCTCCCATATACATCCCATGTGTGGGCAGCCTTCTTTCTTCCTGTCAATCAGATTTTCATTGAGTCACAGGAGGAAGTGTTTCTCCCTCCCTAGGTGGGTGGGGCAGTTGCTACATGCTCCTCTGTGATCATCTGTCTGGAGGTCATCACTACTTGTCTTGAGCGAAGTGATGTTTTGTATATTGGTACAAGCCGTGTACATTGGCTATGACGGGAGCAGAGCCTCTAGAAGCAGAGTGACTGCAGCAGAAACGGCTATGGTTGCAATGGTGTTCACAGCTGGATTGGAAATTCCTTGGGACATCTGGAAATTATTCAGAGCAACTTAACTCCCATGATGACAATGTGGCTGGTTTCTACAGAAGTGGCTGGCTGATTGATTGCTCCCTGTGCAAGGCAATCAGGCCCAGGGAAGGAAGGCTTTGACAGTTGTCTGTCAAATGCCACACAGTCACAAGAGCTAAGCTCTGACAGCTTCCATCTCTTAAGAAGGAAAGCTTGAAAAGGAGCCTACAACAGAAGCCTATCCCAGAACTAATACGGTCTACAGATCTTACCAACACTCAGCCCCTAGCTACTCTTAAGGACCCATGGGGCCCATGTCCCAGTGTCAAAGCATCAGAAATATACAGTTAAAAAAGGACATGATTTCTGAGTGGTGGTGGCACACCTTTAACTCCAGCACTCAGGAGACAGAGGCAGGTAGAGCTCTGTGAGTTCAAAGTCAGCCTGGTCTACAGAGCAAGGACCGTGTCAGGACAACCAGGGCTATACAGAGAAATCCTGTTTTGAAAAAACAAACAAACGGACAAACAAAAACAAAATAAAGCTACCAACAATAAACACAAACAACCACGAAAAAAACCCCACCAAAAACCCCAAACAAACCAGCATATGATACTCTTTTTTGCAGTCAGGAGGGGCTGAAGAGTCAGCTGTGGTTAACAAGAGACTGGTTTGTAGTGATATTTTGTTTGTGATCTTATAAAGCTTTGCTGAAGTTCAGACTGCAGAGCTAAACTACTAATTAGCCATAGAATCCAGGCAGTGGTAGCACCCACCTTTAATCCCAGCACTTGAGAGACAAAGGCAGCCTGATCTCTGTGAGTTCAAGGCCACCCTGGGCTACACGAAATTGATCCAATCTAAAAGAGAAACAGAGCCAGGTGGTGGTGGCTCACACCTTTCATCCCAGTACTTTTGAGTCACCCGTCTTTAATCCCAGCTCTAGGGAGGTGGAAACAGGAGGGAGGAATATAAGGCAGGAGGAGACAGGAGCTCAGATGCAGTCTGAGCATGCAGTCTGAGGATTTGCAGAGACAGGATTGCCCCTTTGGTCTAGCACTGGTAGAGGTAAGAACTCGCTGGTGGCTTGCCTCTCTCTCTGCTTCTATGATCTTCCAGCACTAACCCCTATATCTGACTCCAGGTTTTTATTATTAAGAACAATTAGAGTTTGTGTTACACTAGCTCCATCAAAATGAAACCTTTGAGTTATTGGGACAATTGATGCTGGTCAGTCGGAGCTGAGAAATTAGTAGTGATTAAGTGGAGACTTGTGAGAAGAGTAAGCTGGTGACCGAGCACTATTGCAGTTGTCTTGTAGCTGCCTTGGGTGACAGGTAACGAATCCTGAGAGCAAGAGGTCCTGACAGTGAGAAAGCAGGCTGCCTCCCGAGGTCCACTCCCTACACCCCAAGGTGCAGATGGCGGCCAACATGGGTGATCAGCTCAGCACAGCAGATTGGTCTTCTCAGTATGGCATGGTGGCTGGAGCCAGCAGAGAGAATGGCATGGAGCCTCCTATGCACGAGAACCCAGAATGGGAGAAGGCCTGACAGGCCCTGGCCAGCATCAGCAAAGCAGGGGCTGCCAGCACCTTGTAGCTCAAAAGCCAGCAGCAGTGGGCCTGTGGCCACTGCACAATATGTCTCTCAGGCAGAAGCCTCAGTTTTGCAGCAACAACAACAGTACTACTGAGGGTATTAGTGTTGGACTCTAGTGTCCAAACCGAGAAGAAGTCGCCCCCAGAGACCACCTCATATACCACAGCCGATGCAAAAGCATGAGGATTTTATTAATTCTGTCATGACAGGGTCCCCCAGCATTCGGGAAGCTGAGAGACCTCGAATAGCTGGTACAGTCTGCTTTTAAAGGAGAAGGCCATAGAAAGAAGGGGGTTGTTCTTTGACCACCATGATTGGCTTATTCGAAAAGGGCTAATACCAATAATTGGCTGGAGAGCTATTGTCAGATCAGATGAGGTAAGAGGTCATTTTGACCCCGCTTCCCAGGGAATGAGTCAAAACATACGTGTATGGGTAATTGTTCAGGAACTGAGTCAATATCTTAAAGGTTATCTTGCCCCAATTTCTGGAGAACATATGTGCATGTGTAGCTGACAGGTCCTTGGTTCCCAGGGGAGGAGGGGAAGCTCTAAGGCATGGAGGCTGAGAGGGTTTGGAATAGTCAGAAATGGCTTCAGAATTGTCTTCAAGTCTTACATTATCAATACAGTTCTGCCTATCCTTACAGCTACTACTGCCCCATGCCTCCAGTCCTTGGCATGGATGAGGGTATGGCCTGCCAGGCTTCCCCTCAGCAACTACCTGCAGCCCAGCCCCCTCAGCCCTCAAACTGTCAGCATGGGACACATGGTCCATGCAATGGCCCTCAGCCTGGAACAGCCCCAGCTGCTCAGCACAGTTAGACAGGGGCACCTACAGGGCAGACCTATGGGTTACACAGCTATAGTGAGCCCGCCAAGGCCAAGAAGGGTCAGCAGCTGTGGACCTGCATGAAGCCAGCCCCTGGGACTGGCGTGTGGGAAAGACACATCCACCTACATGACTTCATGAAGAGAGCCTATAAGAGGCTTCTGGTAAGAGTGCAGTCCAGCTGCAGCAGAAGACCCCAGCATTTTAAAGAGGCCACCACCATGGGACAACCACCAGGAGCAGCAGCAGCCGTGGAGTGGAGCCAGCGAGAGCCTAGAAGACAGGCTGTGTGTGTTGCAGGGGGTGGAGCCTCTTGGAGGAGTCCAGAAGATCGTGAGTGAGTCCTCACTTTATATAGTCTAGACTGTCCTTAATCTCACAGCAATCCTCCTGTTCCAGCCTCTTGAGTGCTGAGATTACAGGTATGTGTTGTCATATCCAGTTTTGTAAATGTTTTAATTTTAATTTCATTTAAAATCAGAATTTAAAAAATATGATAACATAGCCTCCTTGGAAGACTGAGGTAAGAACATCTCTTTAGCTCAGGAGTTACCTGGGAAACATAGTGAGAACCTATCTAAAAAAGAATAAAAGAAGGCGGGCGGTGGTGGCACACGCCTTTAATCCCAGCACTCAGGAGGCAGAGGCAGGCGGATCTCTGTGAGTTCGAGGTCAGCCTGGCCTGCAAGAGCTAGTGCCAGGACAGGCTCCAAAGCTCCAGAGAGCTACAGAAAAACTCTGCCTCAAAAAACAACAACAACAAAATAGTAAAAGAAAAAATAAAATAAGGGTGGGATGGTTATACACAAAGTAAAAACAATAAATATATAATAACATTTATTTATCACTGTACAAAGGTAGTTACCAAACACAATTAATTTTTTTGTTTTTAGTGAAAGAAGGGAGTTCACAAAAGTCAAAGGGTTTTGAGCCCTATGAAGTCAAAATGTGTCCATAGGATTAGTGATCACATTGTCCACTGTGAGGAATTTTGCCAGTATCAAAGGCTGCTAGGTAAACAGACTTCGACATTATATATATATATATATGCTAATTTTTTATGAACTGCATTAAGACTCAATTAAGACTTAAGACAGGGCAACATGACAAACAGCAACAATCTCTCCCTTCCCAGAATTTGAATCTAGCTGAAAAAGCAAGCCACAAAACAAATTATTGCACAATTTGGTGGAGGTCATCACTAGGAAGGAAGTATAGAGTGATGGTAAAATAATAAGGGAGACATTTGTGGGGTCAAGGGGCACAGCCTGTTGTGCCCTTAGTCCATAGAAGATATTATACAGGGATTAGATTGTATTTGTCCTTGCATCCG